AAGTTCAGATTGTGTAGTACGCTACCATTCCTACAGGTAAGTTCAAACTGTACACAACCTGCACTAGGTCACTTTTGCTGCCTGCCTACAAACGAAACTATTTAACATTTGACTAGTCCGCAAACAGAAAGCGAATGAGCAGAAACTGTTCTACCTATGTTGTCTGTCATATGTTAATGGTTGTACATCTAACTACTCAAAATAAAAATAGAATCATTTGTTGGGCTATTGGCAGGATGGAATTTTCCCCGAACTTATCACCTGAAATCTACCCCTCCCTCAGTTCTTCCTGATTGTCACTTGACGTCATCATTCCTAAGCAATCCAGATAGCGTGTGTGTCTAAAGGTGTGCACACGGCCCACCCCTGTGCCCCGAGTCTATGCTGAGCTGGCCAGCCCTGCACCATGTTTACCCTCACGTGCAGCGAGCCTTACACCGACCGATTGGCTGATCAAGAGGCGTTTAAGGACGGCCCTCGAAGTCCTCAGGAATTATTTAACGTCGCAGACAGGACGACGATCACAACCAATGGAGGGTAACCCCGCCGGTACTTATTTATAGACGTCCGGTACTCGTCTCCCATGTAGGGCTGGCCTGCCCCTCATAACCCATCTAACAGGGCAGCAGGCAGACAAAGGACAAAGCAGCAAAGCATGCATGCTCTACTCCCGGAGGGTTGGCATGGTAACCGTGACTCAGTGCTTCGTCTAGGGCCCTTCAGATAGCTCCGACCTCTCCTTCCAGATGCTCCATGTGAACAATGCCGACTCTCAAGGTTGAGTGCACTCGACTCCTCACATGAGAGGACTCTCAAGACATAACACACATCCTGACGGTAAGAAGTGTCGAAGAGGGTAGATAAGGTTAAGAGCAACGTACCTCAAAATAGCTGGCCCCAACCACAGACATTCTCACCAAATGACCTGACGTCGATTGTGATGACCAGTCGCTGCTTCGGCACAACCAGCATTACACCGCCATTCCACCTCAGCATCAATCGCACATCAGATAGTTCTCATCGCAATATGAACACCCCTTACGCACTTCATAGCCTTCCTGGCGATTCCCCTCACCTCCTGGGTTGCCTGCTTGCCTTCGCCCTCCTCACTACACACTCCCTACGACCGCTCACCCAGCAGACCGCATGCATGTACCGCATGGGAAGAAGACAAGCGCCATATTAGCTCAACGTACCACAACTCTGATACCAAAATGCAAGGAAAATGAGCGATAGCGAACTCCAGAAACCAAGCAGCATCATACACATGAAACCAGATAGTTGTGACCTCGAACCGAAAGCAGAATTGCAACACGAGTTCCACCAAATAAGGGCGCAGCAAAAGCTCACAAGTGACAATGTTGGAATAGTCTCATCATCATCAACAATGAACCAATGTCGACATCCTAACTGGCGCTCTGCGCCCAGACTACAAATGGCAGATCCTATCTAGCCTATCTACAATGTTGCTGGTGACGTCAACAGCTCCACAAAGTACGAGCAGATCTCGGTCAATGTCGTTCACCTCAAGCACCAGGTATGTCTCTCGCATCACTCACAACCTTGATTCCCCACACACAGATGCTACATGCACCCAAGGACCACCATGCGCCCCATCCAGCATAGCGCAGGGCAGCTCGGCTATGGCAGCCTGCTCTTCCTGCTCGCCCGTGAGCGCGTGGGCGCTGGCCAACGATTAGCGCAGCAGCGCTTGCGCAGCATGCAGCCAGTGCCCAAATACCAAATGCGGGGGCAGGCACTTTCCTATATGGAAGTGCCCTGCCTGTTGCGAGCGGCCTCGCTGCACTGGGCCCCTGCCCAGAAGCTTCCGGTAGGCCCCAAGTGGCTGAGCCCCAGTCCAAGGGAATCAGGCACAGGGCCTGGGGCGGTTACCCGTGTTCAACTGCCCACAGCCTGTGTTCGGTCCATGTCGCGTGTCTGGCCCAGGGCCTGCCTCAGATACATTTGATAAAGGCAGCCTGGGCCTGGGCGCTCTCAACCAACTGGTGCTGCGCAACTGCCTGAATTTCCCCAGTTGCGTGGTAGTCCAAAATAGGCCCCTCGGCCTTGGTCGTCCTGCCTTCACTTAGGGTGGCTGACAGTGCTGGAAACAGGGCCCGATAAGGCTCGTCGATGCCTTGAGCCTCGCATCGATCTCTCCAACCTCCTGTACGCCTCCAACAATGAATCTCAGATCTTGTGTCAGGGAGCCTGACTCCCAAAGTACCGATGTCAAGTCCCCCCCCCCCCTCTCTCTCTCTCTCTCTCTCTCTCTCTCTCTCTCTCTCTCTGTGTGTATATATATATAGAGAGAGAGAGAGATGATATTGACAGGTGAAAGGCAGAGCCTTGTATAGGATATGGCATGGTGACCAGGTTTCTTGAAGAAGAAGACCAGCTATGGCCGGCCGCAGACCTCAATGACTCCACCGTCACCTCCTCTCTCCTCCCTGTCGCTACAGCGCTGCTCTACTCCTCAGACACTGTGTGCTGGGCTTCTCCTACACGTGCAGCCTGGTCGCATCAGAATTAAATGAGAACTACCTTCTTCAATCGAATACAACGTACGGTCATTATAGCTGTATTTGGGGTATCTTTCCGTCTAAATACAGCAATAATGACCGTACATTGTATTCGGGTGAAGAAGGTACCTGTGTCCTACTAGGCCTCTCCTGTATACTGCTGGGCTGGCCACCAACCAGGCTGGCCTCCCATCTGGACCCATCCAATCTAACTGAGATCGGGTTGTCCAGATGAGAGGCTGTGTGGCCAAACTCCACACCAGGCCTGAAATCATGTGGCCTGGGTCCCTACTCAGGTCCAGGCCCCCCCCCGCTGTCTCAGCAACAGGGCCTGGAAAGCAAATTTAAACGGTATTGCACAAAAAGTCGGACATGGAGCCTCGCTACGCTGCTCACGAATGTGATAAATGACAATGAATCATGGGAAGATACACCGCCATATTTTTTGTCATTTTTCCATGTCGTGAGTAGTGGGGAGCGAAGCCCATGGGCCCAGCCTCAAAACAAGCTGGGTGAATACGTGAAACAGCACACTCAGGATAGGGCCTCAGCTCCACTACACAACCCTCTACATGCACTTGAACGCTTTATGGACCAGATACGTTCAAAATGTTGGAATCGTCTGAATGCAACTGGTCCGAAAATCGTCCAAATGCATGCAGAGTGTTGTGTAGTGGAGCGAGACCCTAGGGCAAAGTCTTATAAACTCAATGCAGACCAGGACAAAATGAACTGGCAACAAAGGAGAAAAAACATACTGACGCCAGCAAAAAATATGCAGAAATCGAGAACAAAGCAAAAACTGGGCATACTCGCACTGCACTTTCCTAAATGCATCTGAGCGTAATTACGGCCGGACATCGATGAACCTGACCGCAATCACGGCCAGAAGTTATTAGAAAACGTCCTAGTGTGAGTATGTCCCGAGTCCTTCGGGATAATCTATATCTGTTAAACTCTGGACTATACAGAGAAGATCACACTGGCGGGGAAAAAAAAAAAAAAAAAAAAAAAAAAAAAAAAAAAAAAAACACTGGACTGAGAACAGACAAAAAACACGCGCGGCTAGACTCAGAGAGCAGACAAAATACACACACGCCAATCGGGGCACCCACTGGGAGAGAAAGGGCCTTCGCTCCACCACTCACGACATGCACAAAAGACAAAAGTTACGCCAGTGAATCTGTCCATGTTTTAGCTCAAATTCAGTCTCATTTTGCACATTTGGTGAGTGGTGCCACTGGAGCGAGGCCCAAAGCCAAGGGATGGGGTTTAGAAAAGGCAGAAAAAAAATTGCTTGGAAGAATGAGACACCGGGGTGAATGATTAGAGGCCTCCGCAGTGAAACACCCTCTACGTATTCTCAAACTTTAAATAGGTAAGATTTATCTACATTAAACCACCAGTACATGGGGCCGGCCTTAGCGTTAACGCTACGAAAATTTTGCGGCTGGCGGGCCGTGGATAAATCGAATCCACAGCCCGTGTCGCTTCGACCTCCGGCGCGCAGTGCGGCGGCACGCAGTGCGGCGGCACGCAGTGCGGCGGCACGCAGTGCCCAAGTACTGGTGGTTTAACAATAACCACCGTATATTATATGTTCTCTCATTTCCATCAACTTAATAACTCACAGGGACACTGGACCAACATGGGACAGGGGGGCTGCAGATGCCTGGAACTGAGCTTGGACCAATAACCTATAAGATTTTTTTTTTTTTCTTTTTTTTTTTTTAAAGATATTAGGGGGTCACAACACGCAAATTTCCACGTGGGGCCTGGGTCAGTGGGAAGTAGGAACTCTACAAGCAAGGAGGGTGAGCAGCCGACAGGGAACGATGGTGCTCCGACAGGAAACGAACTGACATGGCCATGGCCATGGGCCCAACAAACACCGTACTCAGAAGATGTATCCAATGAGAGGCTGGGGCCGATTTCCAGCAGGTGTCGCTCCCCACTAACAGATGGAGCAGCCCGACAGGCAAAACCTCAATCACAATGCAGTGGTTCTCTTACCACCACTGGGATAGAGGCCTTGTAGTAGGGCCTTTCTTTGAAAGAAAAAAGAAAAAGAAAAAAGAAAAAAAAGATTTTGGGGTTCCTTGAGCGAACCTTTGAGGATGAATGTATAAGCTCCAAGTGGGCCATTTTTGGTATTAAAAAAAAAGAGGGGAGACCTTAGATATGTGCCTTTTTTTTTACTTATCCTGTGCAAAGTTGTGATATCTTTTTTTTTCTTTTTTCTTTTTTCTTTTTTCTTTTTTCTTTTTTTCTTTTTTTCTTTTTTTAGTTGTGTTATACTTGGAGTTGTGCATCATTTCAAAGTTTGAGCAAGGTTCCACTTGGTAAAGGCAACCAACTCCAGGGCGGGTTGAGCGGGGGGTCGTGAGGGTAAGGAGGTGTGTCTCGCACACACACAAAGAGAGAGAGAGAGAGAGAGAGAGAGAGAATAAAATGGCAGTTGGATGGGTACAGCACTACCTGGTGGGTGCATTTCCTGAATGATCAGAAGGAGCTTCATCGTCTGAAGCGGCAGCCGCAGCGGAAACAGTACGAGGGTACCTCTGCAGTTGTCCGACCGATCGACGAGTTTTCCATGAGCATGACGAAGCCTCCGACATCAATTTCACCAGGCAGTCCAATTTCAAGCCGCGGCATTTGCAATAAAGGTGCCGAGGATTCGTCGACGAGGTATGGACTAGTCGAGACGACGCTGACAAGGAGGAGCAAGAGACCGGCGATCTCCTCGCAGACCAGGAACACGCTGCAAGAGGCTTGGACCTAGAGAAGGAACGGTAGACATGTGACCACATCCTGCAACAATAGCGTTGTCCATCTCTTGCAGAGAGGGCTGAGCCCGCACTCGCACCGCTCGTTTCAGCAAAACCATGTTGTTGCTCACACGCCGTGGGTACCCACGCAGCAGAAGAAACGTGGGATACCTGGGCTTGATGCACCGCCATCCTAAGTGCCAGACACACGCAAACAAGGAAACCAAACCACCCACAAAATCACTGGGGTAAGTAATTCCTAATTAGCTTAAACCACCAGTACCTCGCCCAGCTTGAAAAAGCCGACGCGGCGGTTAACACACCGCGTCAGGCGGGGTACCCACGTGCGACCGGTAGTCCCAAAAAAAGGGGCAAAAAAAAAAAAAAAAAAAAAAAAAAAAAAAAAGAACGACGAAAATGAAAAGTAACGAACGAAAAAGAAACGGGCGTGGCCGGGGAAGAGGAAGGGGGGGAAGAACGAGAGAGAGAGAGAAAGAGGGCGTCAGTGCACCAAACTCGGCGTCAGACACTCGCTGACGCTCTCTCTCTCTCTCTCTCTCTCTCTCTCTCTCTCTCTCTCTCTCTCTCTCTCTCAACCTCTCACGAGAATGAATATCGGGCTACCGGTAGTCCGAGCCTCGGACTTGATAGCTGTCCGAAGCTAGGAAGATTTTCATGCCCGGCCGGGCACCCGGACGTGACGCCCGGGGGACCCGGGGGTGCCAAAAAAAAAAAAAAAAAAAAAAAACTTTGTTTTTTTTTGGCCTTTCTGTGCTCTCCCAGAGGACCCCAGATCGGGGCTCTTTTCATTTTTTGAGAGTTGACTGCCAAGGGGGGGGAGGGGGGTATAAATTGTTTTTAAAGGGGCTAATGGGGGTTAGAGGGTGGTCCTTTAGTGTGATTTTGTTATTTTCTTTTTTATCTTCGATTCGGTAAGGAATTCTGATGTGACCGTCAGCCAAAAGTTATTTGTATTGCAATTCTATATAGCATTTTTTTTCTGGGATTTTTTTACTTTCGGTTTTTTTTTTGTTTTTTTTTTTTGTTGCACTGAGGCTGCCCGGAACCCTGCCCGGGAGTCATGCCCGGCCGGGCACCCAGGCATGTATCCGGGCACAAGCTGGGTGCCCGGTTGCCCGGAAAAACAACCTAGAAAAACAGTAAATTACCCAATCCTGACATAGGGAGACAGTGAGTCCACTGATTGGAATGACAACAGTCCACAAGAAGCTTAGGCCAGCCCTCCAATAGCCCTGTTTGTCAGACATTAGAACAATGCAGAGACGATTGGCATAGCCGCTGCACAAGTTAAACAGAAAAGAAAAAAGGCTACCAACGGGGCAGCCTATCTCAGTCCAAACACCCCTGAATTGTTGAAATACAGACCCAAGTTCGAATCCAGGTGAAACGACATTAAAAAAAAAAAAAAAAAAAAAAAAAAAGCTTAGCACCATGGTAACAGCGGACCCGGACACCGGACCCTTCCTTACTGTCTTCCGGACTAGTGTCTGGAGCGGTCCGAACTGTCCGGTGATCAGGACACCACCAGACACCCGGACATCACCGGACCCGGACAGTCCGGACCGGTGTGAGGGGGTGCAAAATGTCTGGACCCACAAAAAAAAAAAAAAAGCAGGAAAAAAAAAAAAAAATGGGGGGTGCGGATGTTGGCAGGCACTCACCTGCACCTGTCTTGCAGCAAATCAACAAGCACATTCAACTAGCAGATATGCAGAGTTGCAAACAGTGCAAAGCAGGCACAATACTAAAGAAACAGAGAAAAAAAAAATAGTATGATTAACTTTGAACTTTGAACTTTGAATAAAGTAATTTAATTATTTAATTTCATAACTTCATATATAACTTAAAAGTTCGAACTTCGCAGTTCAATTCACAACGTCAGAGTCTTCTGACTGCACTGTCAGTGCTCTCTCTCTCTCTCTCTCTCTCTCTCTCTCTCTCTCTCTCTCTCTCTCTCTCTCTCTCTCTCTCTCTCCAACGGGCAGCCGCGGTCTACCGCCACGTCAAAATGGCCACTTTGAAATTTCTCGGGCCTGTGTGAAACCCGCCACCCCAAAAACCTGCAGTGTCTTGTGTCCGGACCTCTAGGCCCTGTCCGGTGGGGTGAAACGACACTGAAAAATCACCCCGATAATTTTTAAGGGACGGCCAGGACCCGAAAAACGTTCTGGGCCGCCCCTTTTTTTTTTTTTTTTTTTGGATTTTTGCGGTGGGGGCCTCCATCCAGACAGACATCATGGACCGGACACCGGACCCAGACATGCTGTGGACAAGACTGGTTTTTAACCAAAAAAACAAAAATGGACAGTTGATGGAGCCATTGATTCCATTTTGATCGACTGGTCAAGAAATAAGTCCGATTTCTTATAGGTACTACAGACTGGACAAACCGGCGTCCGTCCACTGGTGGGCGCATTCTTGGAATTCTCTCTGTGTGGTTGTTAGCTGGTTTTTTGTTTCTTGCATCGTGAGGGGCTATGAATCCCCCCGACCCCCGGTTGCCGCGGCCGTGACCGTGGCTCGCAGTCATGGCCACGACCGCGAGGTCGCTTTGGCCACGTGGCGACCGGAGGGGGAGCGTTCCAGGGGTGGGAGTTGCGGATCGGGGTTCCAGAAACCCCAACCCCATCCCTTACTACCCATAGAAAAAAGAAAAATATAAAGAAACGATTTTTTTTTTGGAGGGGAGGGGTCGAACGAACGTGCTGTTCTTTTTTTTTTTTTACTTTGCTGCACACACACACACACACACACACATACACTCGCGTCGAACGAACATGCTGTCCTTTTTTTTTACTTCTTTTTTTTGGATTTGATTGATTGATTGGCGGGGGAGATTTCAGACTCGAAAAGAAAAGTCGAGAGGTGTCACAATCCGGTTTGGAGAACGCCTCCTCTGGAAATCGACTCTCCGGTCCGCCTGTGAACTTTTTTTTTTTTTTTTTTTTTTTGAGAGAGAAAGATAGGGAGAGGACTCATGCCGTGTGTCTCCGAGGCCTCTCCGTTTTGTAAATGCGTCAGGCTCCTTACCCTGACAGTCGTCTTTTGTTTTTTTTTTCAAGGGGGGGGGGGGGAGAACCAAAAACTTTTACCTATACCTTTCTCGGCCTTTTGGCTAAGATCAAGTGTAGTATCTGTTCTGATCAGTTTAATATCTGATCCGTGGTCCATCCGGCCACATTAAAAAAAAAACTTTTATCATTAAAAAAATCAAAGGAACTGACGACGGGAAACCCCACAAAACCCACTCAGCTCAAAATCTAGTGGTCCTTTTTTTGGCTTGGACAAGACTTTTCTTATTCGAGGGTTCGCGTCTCTGGGAGTGCCGTGTGGCGAAGCAGCCGAAACTCTCGAAGAACAACCTCTCAAAATAGTATGACACCTCTCGAAGAATTTCTTTTGTTTCCTATTTGAGATGCCGAGAGTGCTGTGTGACGAAGCGGCAGACACTCTTGAAGAACAGCCTCTTGCAATCATCTGATCTGATGCTCCTCGAAGAATTTCTTCCAGGAGTGGTGTCATGAGGCCCATTGTAATCCAGTTGCTTTTTCCTTTTTTATAACTTGCATTTTTTTTTCTCAATTGTGGAGAAAAGCTCGCCCATGTGTGTAGTTGCAAACCCGGTCCGATATTTTGAAACAAGTATGAGCATGTGTAAACATGGGTGGGTTCGGGTAGCCAGTGGTTGGGCACAGGTGAGTCCAGGTGGGCAAATGTGGGGCATGAGCAGTTTCGGGTGGGTGAACGTGGGACACGAGTGCTTCCAGGATGTGCCGTACCCCCGTTCATGAACGGGGGTAGCGGTGACCGGAGGCCAGTCACCGGTCGCGATTTCGCCTGTATTAAGGGCCTTTGTTTTACATAATCAGTATGATTCTCCTGTTAACAAAGAAAATCATATGTAAAACACAGGCCGCGTTGGCGGAGATTTCACAACGGCCTGTGGAGTAATGGAAGTCTCCAAAGTTGACTTGCGTTTAACTAATTTGAGCTTATTTATCCTTATGAAACCTAACTCTAAATTGTCTATGTCATGCTGTGTTTCCTATATTTGTTTCCAACTCTGCGGCGAGCCTTCGTCGGCTCTCGCAAGAGTCGAGCCTCTTGGGATAAGGTAAGGTATTGTTTTAGACATGTTCTGAACAATGTCGTAGTTTTAGTCCGTGCTATGTAGAGATACATAGAGTGCTACCAGTGTATGTATACTGAGCAACAACAGGCTCGAGCGGGCTAGTGGCCAACATAACAATTAGAACGTCGTGAGACAGTTCAGTTCCTATCTACCGTTGGCGATTTGAAGAGAACTGAGAGAAGCCATCCCCATTACGAGAGGACTGGGATGGGTCAACCTATGGTGGGACCGGTTGTCATGCCAGTGGCATTGCCGGGGGACACGGCCATCATCGGGAGCGGGAAGCATGCTTTTTTCTTGTTTGGGCTGGTGATTGGTGTTTCTTTTTCTGTAGGAGGATGGTCATCGGAGGGTACGCCCCCATACTTTTTATTTTTATTTTCAGGAATAATATTTTTTAATTAAACAAGAAAAAAAAATCAGGGAACCACCCAGCATGAGCATTTTTGTTTGTTGTTTTATAGGTTATTTCGATTTTTACTTTTTTTTATGGTCATTGTGTTCTGAGGCTTGTGGCGACGGTGGCGGGGTGAGCCATTGAAGAGAGGGGGAGGGGGGGGGGGRGGGAATGCGCTGTCATGGTTTGGCCGGTCACCATGAACGGCCGTTCACAGGCACAGGGGCCTATGACCGGCCGGTCACCATTCACTGACCGGGCCCGGTCACATTCACAGGGTAGACACTGCTTCCAGGTGGGCACAGTTAGGCCGTAGGTTGCACTGGGCAGCCACTGTCAGGTCCACTTTGGAACCTGCCCGGGTTGGGTACGGCTGTAAATTTGTCCCGGTTCCCAGGCGGGCCCGATGCGGGAACGAAAATCCAGATCAGGTACAGGTGGAAAATAGTGTCAAGAAAAAGTGGGCCAGGCTCAGTTGTTACACCCAATGAACTGTTGAAATACAGACCCAACTTCGAATCCGGCTGCAATCCGATGAACAGAATAAAATAATTGTGAATTACCTGGGGCATGTCCGTTCAATGATGATATCCCAAGGTCGTCACACTTCAAGGAAATATGTATATATCTACATATCGTCGAA